AGTGTCTGTTTACATCACATGAATCCCACTCACAATGAGACTGCGCTGGAATGAGTTGCACTTTTAGGACCAGGAGTTAGCCCAATTTCTAAGCATCTGACATGGTTAACAGAGCCTTTTTGTGTGCTAGCCCTAGTCTGCTGAGAATGTTTCTTCCTTTCTGTCCTTGCCAGGTGAGCTGGCCAGGAGAAAAACTTAAGCATTAGTGTATCTTATTAGACATCAGAGAGTCCATGCGGAGCGACATGTTGCAAATGCCTCAAGCCCAGGGTAAGCTTCAGTCAGAGCTTAGACATTTGAAAGCTCAGCTATAGGCAATGAAGCCCACAGAAATGGAGGTTTCTGTTTTTCTATTCAGAAATGGCTTGGAGTTTTGCCTTTTCTACCTTGTTCAGTTGACAGTTCTTACAGATTTCAAGTCATATACCAGAAAGCAGTTTATGCAAAGCACTTGTGAAAATAGCAGTGCTATCCAGACTGTGTGCTTGATTCTTCAGTGGAGGTGGACAGTTGCACCTGGAAGATGGCAGCCTCAGTCATTCCTCTTTTAGGAGATAGATTTTACCATTTCACATACCCACTATGGGAACAGATACACTAGGAATTAAGGTTGAAAGGTTTCACTATTTGCACTGAATTTCTCTTGTTTGCTTGTTGTTGTTGTTGTTTCTTCATTTTAAGCTGAATTCACTTTTCATATATATGAATGCATGTTTTGTTTGTTCATTGAGAAGATGGGAATATAAGCAGAAAATGAATGTTGCATGCACTGCCCATAAAATATGTGACCATGCCTACAGCCATAATGCAAATAGAGAATAAGTGTGGGAACACCAGGTTATGTGTAAGATCATTCATTTATCTACCTCGATTCTCTTGAGTCCCACGGTCTAGTTGTAGGCATAAGCTGTAGCTTAAAGCTGTTTTCTACACAAATAATGTATCATTGCTTATTGATGCATGATGTTAATGTCGTCACAGGGAGAATAACGGATGCAACAGTTAAAGCTACGTTCCTTGAAATTGTTTCAAAAATTAGACCTAAGTGAGAAAATGCTGGTGACTGAAATATTCTCAGGGAAGGGAGTCCTCTTCGTTAAAGTGTTCTTTGGGAGATAAAACTTGTTCCTTATCCAGTAAATCAGATGTGGATTTCCTTGCACCATAAAGCATTTTTTGAGATTGGCCTGTTTTCATATCCATGATAAAAATCATTGAACCTACACCCTGCAATATGGATTGGGTGAGTCTGGAAATACAGCCCTCCCAGGACTAGTGATAAGATATCCAATTGTGTCAAACTGACTTCCAGAATTTTTCTGTGAACTTATACTCCCAAAATATTGTTTATCTAAAAAGTTAAAAATTATTAATTATCTGTAAAAGCTACCATTTCTGTATGTTTGTGGTATACCTAATGAATATTTCAGTGAAAAGCAATTCTGCTTTCTACACATGTATCTATTTCCCCCCAAACATACAGAGCGATTAGAACAGAATATGGGCTAACCCAGCCCCAGGTCTGAATTTCGTCAGTGGGAAGTATTCTGACCAATGCAAGTTCAAAGTAAAATCCTTGTGAACATAGATTTGGTATGATATGTTCAATAGCTGTTTGAACATCTTTGTGTTGTGAGGAGGGAATACGTTCATAGCCGCGTGGTGTCCGTTTTCGCGTGGTATGGAAATAAGCTTTGCTCAGTGGAGCACAGCTCTGTCATACAAGATGAGAAACCAACTAACTGGAATTTTGCAATGAAACTTTTAGTCCTAACTAGTGTTTATGTAAAAAGCTGTAGCGGCTCCAGTGAGAAATCTTGAGTGCTGAAGTTGATGACTGTCTCCTGAGGTCTTAAAGTGTGGAGAAAGATGGTAGCAGAGCCTTCTTTTTTAATTTAAGTGCAGTGCTTGCCACTCAAAGGAAAGCATTTGTCAGGTTACAGTAAAGGTGTAAAGAGAATTAAAATTGATAGGCCAAACGATTTGGCAAATGTTAGTCTGTAACTTAACAGAAAATACATCTTTGGGTGCAAAGGGAGTGCCTGTGCCTCTTAATCTGTGCCTCTTAAACGAGAGTCCAGATGAGAGCTTGATGCTGTACAGCTTTGGGGAACTCGAGGGCACATTCTTCACCTTGTGTTAAGGGATAATGTGCCCATCTTTACATCTCTGTGTGAAGTACGAGCCAGCCTTCCTCTCCATCTGCTAGGGAGGGGAGGGGAGCAGGCTCACAGTCCACTCTCCATTGCTCCTCAGCACAACGCAGTATTTGGCCTGCCCTGACCATCCAGCAGGCCTGTGTTGCAACCTTTGTCGTGTTTTTTTTCTTCTCCAGTGTTTGCTTTCAGTATGAAGCCTGAAAGACGGCCTGTTACGTATTCTTCCATCTCAGTGGCTTTGCTTTCTGGGAAGTTTCTCAAAACCCAAATTTTATTGTGACTGAAGGTTATTTGCAGTGAAAACTGTATACTCTACATCCTGAGATGACAGAGAAATGAGTTCGTGTCCTCTCTTCTTTTTCTTTTCTGTTTTTAATAGAAAGCGTGCTGTCATTTGTGCACAGTCAATGTTCGAATAGCTGAATGGCTGCTTAGAGGTGTTTTATTTTGTAGCTACAATATAAACTGAGTTCAGTATAACTGGGTTGGACTTCTTAATGTTCAGCCTTTCCCAGATGAAACCTTTATTTACAGTTGTCAGTTTGGAGGCTTGACAGTCCAGACAGTGACCTTTATTCTGCTGCTGTCTTAGGGAAGGTTTATCACTCTGACAGAACCTCATTAAAATAGAAGAAAATTATTAGTGAGTAATGTCAGTGAGAGACAGAGAACCAGAGTAAGACCTTATACTGGTCACGGAACATCTATAACTAGCTCCAGCTCTTCCCTTTTCTTCACTGATGGGGGGAATGTTATTCTGCCAGCCATTATTCATTCTCAATGATCAGGGATAATCTTTCTTAATCCCTTGGAGGAGTTTCTTTGCAATATGTTCATTCTGAACTTTAAATCACTATTTACATAGGGCCAGATTCTGTCATGCTTTTTCCTGCCAAATAGTAGCTTTCTCTGTTAAAAATGCAATAGTGAGTAAGAACAAGAATGAAGAGAAGTAGGCTCTATGCTAGATCCTTAACTGATGAATCCAACTATGTGAATTTTCACCTGCGTTTATTTTTCTTCATGAGCAATGACTTAAACTTTTTATTTTATTGTCAAGTCCTTCCAGTTAGCTAGAATAGCACCAAGGCCTGTGGTCCATTTTTTTTTTTTTTTTTAAACTGGGAAAGGAGAAAAGCCTGCAAACTATGCAGTTTAGTTTGTCGTCTTTTTCACAGGTTCAGCTCCTACCATTGAAACTAGGAGCTTTATGGCCATCCCCATGCCACTAGCATAAAAAATTCAGTGAGCTCTTTCAGCTGCTGTCTCAGTGATCATGATTCTTACCAGAAATTTATATAATCAGTTAAACAAAACACTGCCGTCCTTGCCTTTCATATTTTAATAATCCTGAAACTGCAGCAAAGTCAGTACTATCCCGATAGACAAATTTAGACAGACTTAACCCTTAAGGTTGGGATATTTTTTGGATTATTTTATGCCAGACCATTAACACAAGGAAAAAGTTATCTGTGCTTTGCATCTCTGTTTACCTGTTAAGGTCTCTTCCTTAACAGAGTGAAGAAGCTCTAGTGCGTTACCTGTTTTGCATTTTCTAAAGTTCTTGGTGAATCTCTAACCCTCTTATTTCAATCCTGTCTTATTTTTGTTTTTATTACCTGTTTGTGAGATTAAGATTTTCTGGTTCTCATCAGTTTCTCTATTTATATCTTCAAAGGTACGTTTATTAACTGACAGAGTTTTCAGGTCCAGCTTACTATTTTCAAATTGACCCAGGCTGACCTTGAGTAATTTTCTTTCCTTGGCTTGTTACAGTATTTCTGTTCTCATAATCCATCTTGGAGAGGTTGTAAAGGATATTGTTCCCCTGCAGCCATCCCAGTTCTACACTGTGGGGGACCTTTTTGTGCTGAATGTACATCAGGTAGGCAGTTAAGGTATAACAACCATAAAGAGGACACAAGGAAGCAAGGATCTTTTAACACTTCAGTTCTTGAGAGAATCACTTGGACAATAAAAAATACTGTTTAATTAATTCTGCAGTAAAAACCATGGATGCTTCTAATAAGTGTGGCTTCAAAAAAGAGAGGCAATAGAGTATCAGCTTCAGTCATTTGAATCTATGCAGACACTGAAACCAAGGATGTTTAAGAAGTTGTCCCTGGTATCTCTCACAGGATCAGTTCATAAAGGCACTTGCATGTAAAAGGATTAGATTATTTTAACTATACATTCCATTCAGTTTGTCATACAAGATGAATTCTTTAGTTATAGTGTACTGTTTATATAAACTTGACCTTTCCTATTGTTGCTGCCTTTTCTTTCTTTTTTTTTTTTTTTTTTTTTTTTTTTTATATTGGCCACAATTGCAATTGCGTTCTAAAGTATCCACATTTACAAATCCTAATATCACGTACTTGGTAATACAATTGCGTACATGTAAGCTTCTCTCATTTGATTTTATTCTCATTTTTTTTTCAATGTATTTTCTGTGTTTTTCTATTAATATACTAGAGAGGTGCTGGGTTACTTACTGCTGCTACAGAGGAGCTACATTGTTGAAGATTCTTTTCCAGTACAATGAGAGAACTCTTTTCACTTTGATTAAGCCTGTTAATTGAAGGAGAGTTACCTATTCAGGCAGCTGTGTTCTTGGATTTGACTAATTACACCCTATGCAAAGCATGTCTTGTCAAGAAACCTGACCCAGTGTCCATTAATTGCTCAGAAATTTCTGAGATATTGATGAATTCTGGTAAAGAGCCAAGAACAAGAGGAATGGAGGGGTTTTAACTTGGTGTTGTTTATTTCGATGCATTTTGAACAAGAAACCTTTTTCCATGTTAATAATCTAGCCCTTTCATATATTATTGATTTTAGTTGATGAAGGAGTTTCCTCTGCTGAGCATGTTTAACATCCATGAAAACCTGCTAGAGGCTTTGTTGGAACTGCAAGCGTATGCAGATGTCCAGGCAGTCTTAGCAAAGTATGATGGTAAGTTCATATATATTTATATTTTCTCTATATCGTATACATAGAAGCAATGTTTCTAAGTCAAACTCTTAAAATTTAGGATTCACAAGCTTCCCCTTACACACTTCTTAATCCAAAGGTTAAGCATCGTGCATTTTTTCTGCCAATCCATGCTTAATTAATTGTACAAGGTAATGGAGCTCACTTAGTAGCAGCTTTTCAGTGCTTTCTTTGCTTTCTGTGGATGTTTGAAGTACAACTGTTTAGGTTTTGCAGACTTTTTATTGCATGCTATTCAAACCTTGTCTGAAGAAAGGATTATCAGTTCCCTTGTGGACTTTTCTGTGAATGTTGACTTAGTAGCATACAAGTGCTTTACAAACATCAATTGATTTAACTTCACAGCAGCCTAGTGAGTAGCAGACTTCATGCCTTATGGGGGAAACCTGGAAAGCTCAGAAGACTAGGTGAACTTTTCGCATTAATTTTCAGTATTTTTCAGTAAGCATTGGTTTGTGCAGCATTACATCACTTTCTATGGTCAGATCACAGCTCCTGCTGACTTCAGCCCTAGCCCTTTGAACTTGGAATTCAAGACACCAAGGTCTCAAACAGAGAAAGGACAGAGTAAGAAGCAGCGTACTTTGTTTAGTTTAAGTTAAATGGGTTTTCCTTGTATTGTGTAGAAGCTTTGTGACAGAAACAGGAGTACAATCCAGTTCCCTTGAGCAGCATTCATCAGCCTGCACAGTGCCACTCCTCACCCTCTTCCTGCAGCCCCTGGCGTACCCGCTGTCCACATTCAAAATTCTGCAACTGGGAATCTTACAGCCATCAGTCTCCTGCTGTGTTACTATGCAGTCCTCATTCATCCTCAGAAAGTCTCATTCTAGGCACTGGAGTATGGCAAGAGAGTTTATGAAAGGAATATTATGTAACCATATAACTAAAAATCAGATCGTAACATGCATGAATCAAATAGCTGAATTAAGTGAAACCGGTAGCCTTAATTTTTGCTGTCTCTTGAGCTTCTCTAGGTTGATCTCTTAGCCTTTAAAATGTTCTTAATTACTAGCTCTTACAGCCTTTCTGGTGTTCTATGAACAGAGATTTTAAGGCTTGTAACTTCCAAAGTTTTTGAAAAGATAGATGGACATCATTTGAGGTACTGTTGTATAAATGGCTACCGATATGGGCTCTGGAGCCTATATCTGCAGTGCTTCGACCACTCCTTGATTCTTTGAAGGAATTAGCGTCTTTTCCAGCCTGCCCTCAGTTGATCTTCTGTCCCATTTATCTACTGAATTGTCTTCTCTTTTGCATGGTCAGGTTCAGCTTTCTATTGCTCCCAGTTCCTATCAGAGGCTTCTTGTTTAGCTAGTGCTGCTCATTCCCAGTTCCGTTCTTCTGGCTCTCCTACCTACCTATCCCAGTCCTGTCTTGAGGGCAGTGAGGGTCATGGTACGTCTCCTCACTCACTTTCCAAGTCCTGCCTTACTACAGGTCTTTTCCATCTACCCTTTTCTCTGTGTCTTCTGCCTTCTCTTCATTTGACATTCTCTGCTGCGTTGCCTGGGTGCCAAAAAGCAGAACAGTAAGAGCTCGCGCAGACAGAGGCTTCTCACTGTCGAATGCAGTACTTGGCCCCATATCATCACATGGAGTAGTGGGAAGGGGATGATGCATAAGGTTTATTGGAGTACTGAGACACGTGTACTTGATGAGAAAGAATCTTTGGAGGACATAACCAAAAAAAACCTGCAGAAGCTTCCACTGAATATGTGCAAACCGCTTTCTTCTAACATCTGGTAACTTAGGAAATTAAGATAAATTTTAATAAGGCTAGCAATAGACCTTTGGCTTGATACTAACTCAATCGTCCTGCCAAATTTCAGACCCCTGCCATAGACCGTGGCAGAGCTGAGGTTACTCAACAAGAGATAAAGAAGCAGCTGATTACAGGCAACATTAATGATAGTGATAGTGACTGTTACCAGTCCAGCCTGGAGTGTTTTCAGCTCTTTCTGGAATCAGATCATTCTAAGCAGAGATCAGAATGTCACCCAGGCCCTTGAGTACTGCCATCCGGTACCAGTACTGACTCTGGGAGAGATCTTGGTTGTGCTTAGTCTGGTTGAAGAAATTGAAAGTTAAAGTGTCTTTCTTGTGGCTCCTTGTATTTCAGTAATCCCTGTGACACAGATGTATATCCCCATGGGCTTTATTTTGGCACATTAAGAAGCAAGTAAATAGAAAGCCCATTTTTATGACCCAGGCACCACAGGAAGTTGGTACTTTGTAGTCTTCAATGTAGTTATGAGATAATAGTCCTGGGAGATAGCAGAACTGTGACAGAACAGGGAATTAAGCCGTGCCTTCCCAAATCTCAGACTAAACTCCTGTGCCAGCTCTACTTTTGCATACTTAAAGCACTGATCCCTAGTTTTAAGCAATACCGTGGTGGCATTTTGTGTCATGGAAGTTGATAAAACTTGAAGGTGAGTTTTGTTTTCTCAAAAGCATCTGGTAAGAGTCAAAACTGTGGTTTTGAATGTAACAAATGAGGCTTTTGAAAGTAAAACTCTTCTTACTTTTTCAGTTTGAGCCCATGCAGTTTCAATGCGTGCTTTGCCATATATAAGCAGAGATGTGTGCGTGTGCACTAGGTATGCACAAGGACTCAGCAAACACAGGCTTAACCAGTGTAACCCTTACAGTTCATGAGTCTCAGAAGGCCCGTCTCAGGGAGTCTCAGCTCATTTTAGAACTCATCAGCTTCATGTGTTGTAAGATTTATTGGAATATAAAACAATGAACTCATTTATACTTGCCTATCTGCAGTTTCTGTTGGTCCCACTCCACTGCCTTTTCTTTTTTTTGACTAAGACCAAACTTGATTTATTGTATTTTGATAACATATGAACAAATTATTTCCTTGAGCAGTCTGCCCCCACCCTGGGCTAAAAAGTTGGATCACATTATGCGAAAGCTCAGCCTCTGCAAGCGGACGCACTGCTTTACCAAAAGCCGTGTGTTAAATTGTGTTTATGTTATGTACCTGGCAACACAGCTGATGTCCATACTCGTTATTCATGGAAAAAGGGCCTCATTAGTGGGACGGCATGCACTGTTGCTGAGCTACATCGTTATGGTTTCAGAATTCAGTGTCTGTCAATAGAGTGCAGATGACCTAAATGCTGTTGAATTCTGAAAAGATTTTTGGCTCTGCTTTAACACATATCCATGTTATCTACAGCAGAAATAGCTATGGCTGCTAAAGAGACTGTTCTTGATGGAATAAGCTTCTGGTATTTGTGATAGAAAAAGCTTTTGTGCTCTTCTTTCCTTGCTTTTTAAACTGATTGTTTTCCAGCGGAGTAAGTCTGCTTGTTGTGGTGCTTAGCACAAATGATTTATTAACGTCCCTAGGCAGCCAGTTACTTTGATTGTTGTTATCTGGTAACCTGGGCACTGTGTGAAAACTCAGACCTTTCTGGCAATTGAAAGTAAGATTTAAAAAGAATGGATGCCTATGTATTTAGTGATAGTGGTGCAATTGTTCCTCCCTAAACCTGTCCTTGTTTTCCTTTTTCTAAGTGACAGTGTTTTCCAGTGAGACTATAAGCCTTCTGGTTTGCAGGACGAGCACCTTATACAAATTCCCCTTGCACTTACACTCTTGCAAAGAAGGAGTAAGACTATGTCACCATGTAGACCAAGTGTCAGAGTTCGCTTGACAAGA